AATTTTGATATAGTAATGGGTCAATGTATTAGTAAAGGTAAACATATAGCATTAATATAAAATATAAATTAAAATTATTCAAATTTTTAAAACAACCTTGAAATATAGTAATAGCTTTCAGTAATGTTAAAGAAATTGAAGAAAATGGCACTGAAGAATTTGAGGAAAGTGGCACCAAGGAATCTAATATCTGTAAATAATTTAATTACTAGCTGGTCTTATATAATATGAATAATAATGAATAATAATGGAATTGCTTATTATCTTTGTTATATTGCAAATAAATAAATAATTTATAAATGATTAATAATACTATAGTTTGTAAGTTAAATCTTTAGTTCTTTATTTATTCATTTTACATGATATAATATTTAAATAACTAATTTCTTTGTTTAATTAATGATTAATTATACTACAGCTGGTAAGTTACAGTATTTAAAAATTATTTGATATTTTATATAATTCAACTAATTATATTTTCTAATTAAATAACTAGATTGTAAGTAATATATTTAATTTATTAATTTATATTTATATCTAACTAATTAGTATAATTAATAATACTACAGGGTGTAAGTTACATAATATTTGTATTTCTATTACTTACATATTATTTAAGCTAAAAAATTCCTCATTTAAAAAATTATTTCCTTTAGATCGTAAGTTATAATTTATTTATTATTACTTATTTTATATAGTATTTACATATAATTTGAACTAATCATATTTAAAAATTATTTAATAATATAGGGTGTAAGTATTTTTATAATTCTATTATCACTTATTTGTATAATGTTATATATAATTTATACTAACAATTAAAAAATTATTTTGTAATTCCTATTAGATTGTGAGTTATAAGTTATTTATTTAATTCTATTTTTACTATTTTATATAATATTTACATATAAATTTAAAAAATTATTTTGTAATTTCCTTTAGATCGTAAGTTATGTTATTTATTTAATTTATTATTACTTATTTGCATATAATTTTAACTAAATTCTTTATTTAAAACATTATTTAATAATATATATAGGGAGTAAGTTATTTATTTAATTCTTTTAACACTTATTTATATAATATTTACATATAATTTAAACACCTAAATTTTTTATTTAAAAAATTATTTTGTAATTTCTTTTAGTTGGTAAGTTATAAGTGATTTATTTAATTCTATTATTACTTATTGTTATAATTTTACATGTAATTTAAACTAACTAAATTTTTTATTTAAATAGATTGTAAGTTATAAGTTATTTATTATTACTTACTGTTAAAATATTACATGTAATTTGAACTAACTAAATTCTTTATTTATAAAATTATTTTGTAATTTTTCTTTTAGATGGTAAGTTATGAGTTATTTATTTAATTCTATTATAACTTATTTATATAATGTTTACATATAATTCAATCTAACTAAATTCTTTATTTAAAAAATTATCTTTAGATGGTAAGTTATAAACTATTTATTTAATTTTATTATTACCATATAATTAAAACAATTCTTTATTTAAAAATTAATTAATAATATAGGGAGTAAGTTATTTATTTATACTATTATTATTTATTTATATATTATTTACATAATATTTAAACTAATTTAATTCCTTATGTAAAAAATTATTTTGTAATTTCTTTTAGATCGTAAGTTATAAATAATTTATTTTATTTATTTAATATTTTCATATAATTAAAACTAAGTTCTTTATTAAAAAATTATTTAATAATATAGGATGTAAGTTATTTATTTAATTCTATTATTACTTATTTATATAATATTCACATATAATTTAAATTAACTATATTCTGTATTTAAAAAATTATTTAATAACATAGGGAGTAGGTTTTTTATTCAATTCTATTATTACTTATCTATACAATATTTATATATAATTTAAACTAACTAAATTCTTTATCTAATAATACAATAGGGGGTAAATTAAATATTTAATTCTAGTAGTATTACTTATTTAAATAATATTTATATATAATATAAACTAACTATATTCTTTACTTAAAAAATTATTTTGTAATTTCCTTTAGATCGTAAGTTATAAGTTATTTATTTAATTCTATTATATAATGTTTACATATAATTTACATCAATCAAATTCTTTATTTGCAAAACTATTTAATAATATAGGGTGTAAGTTATTTATTTAATTCTATCATTACTTATTTATAATATTTATATAACTAAATTCTTCATTTAAAAAATTATTTTGTAATTTCTATTAGATCGTAAGTTATAAATTATTTATTTAATTCTAATTTTACTATTTTATATAATATTTACATATAATTTAAACTAACTAAATTCTTTATTCAAAAAATTATTTTATAATTTCCTTTAGATCGTAAGTTATGAGTTATTTATTTAGTTTTATTATTACTTATTTATATTTACATATAGTAATTCAAACTGACTAATAAATTATTTAATAATATAGGGTGTAAGTTATTTAATTAATTCTATTATCACTTATTTATATAATATTCACATATAATTTAAACAACTAAATTCTTTATATAAAAATTATTTTGTGGTTTCTTTTAGTTGGTAAGTATAAGTTATTTATTTAATTCTATTTATCTATTATTACTTATTTGTATAATATTTACATATAATTTATATCATTTAAACTAACTAAATTCTTTATTTATAAATTATTTTGTAATTTCTTTTAGATGGTAAATTATTAATTATTTATTTAGTTCTATTATTTATATATAATTTAAACAATTAAATCTTTATTTAAAATATTTAAAAATTATTTAATAATATAGGGAGTAAGTTATTTACTTAATTTTTATTATTATTTATTTATTTAATATTTACATATAATTAGAACTAATTAAGTTCTTTATTTAAAAAATTATTTTGTTAATTCCTTCTTAGATTGTAAGTTATAAGTTATTTATTTAATTCTATTTTTATTTATTTATATAATATTTACATATAATTTAAACTAATTAAATTCTTTATTTAAAAATTATTTTGTAATTTTTTTTAGATGGCAAGTTATAAATAATTTATTTTATTTATATAATATTTTCATATAATTAAAACTAAGTTCTTTACTAAAAAATTATTTAATAATATAGGATGTAAGTTATTATTTAATTCTAGTATTACTTATTTATATAATATTCACATATAATTTAAACTAACTAAATTCTTTATTTAAAAAATTATTTTGTAATTTATTTTAGTTGGTGAGTTATAAGTTATTTATTCAATCTATTATTACTTATTGTTATATTTACACATAATTTAAACTAACTAAATTCTTTATTTAAAACACTATTTTGTAATTTCTTTTAGATTGTAAGTTATAAATTATTTAATTCTATTATTACTCATTTATATAATATTTACATATTATTTAAACTAACTAAATTCAAATTCTTTATTTAAAAATTGGTTTGTAATATCTTTTAGATCGTAAGCTTTAATTTATTTATTTAATTCTATTATTACTTAATTATATAATACTTACATATGATAAAACAATTCTTTATTTAAAAATTATTTAATAATATAGGGAGTAAGTTATTTATTTAATTCTATTATTTGTATAATCTTTACATATAATTAAACTAATTAAATTCTTTATTTAAACAATTATTTAACAACATAGAGAGTAGGTTTCTTATTTAATTCTATTATTACTTATTTATATAATATTTAAATTAAACTATTTTTTTAAAGTTTAAACTAAACTAAATTATTTATTTAAAAATTATTTTGCAATTTTTTTAGATCGTAAGTAATAAGTTATTTATTTAATTCTATTTTTATTATTTTATATAATATTTACATATAATTTAAACTAATTAAATTCTTTAATTTCTTTTAGATCGTAAGTTATAAATTATTTATTTAGTTCTGCTATTTATTTATATATAATTTAAACTAATTATATTCTTTATTTAAAAAATTATTTAATAATATAGAGTGTAAGTTATTTATTATTACCTATTCATGTAATATTTACATTTAGTTTAAATTAACTAAATTCTTTATTTAAATAATAATTTTGTAATTTCTTTTAGATGGTAAGTTACAAATGATCTATTTAATTCTATTATTACTTATTTATATAATATTACATATAATTTAAACTAATTAAATTCTTTATTAAAAAAATTATTTTGTAATTTCTTTTAGATCGTAAGTTTATTCTGTTGTTACATATTTGTAATATTTACATATAATTTAAACTAACTAAATTCTTTATTTAAAAAATTATAAATATTATTTAATAATATAGCTTGTAAGTTATTTGTTGTTTCTAATTGTTATATATTATATATAATATTTATTTATTAACTGAATTCTTTCATTTAAAAATTTCTGTCACTTTAGTTGGTAAGTTATGAAATATAGTTTTTTTATTATTATATATATTTATACAAAAACTGATGACATATATTATATTAAATTCCAATTTAAATTAGAGTAAGTGTTAATTTTAATCTTTAATTTATTATAAACTTTAATATAATTTTAATTGATTAAATTTATAGATTTGGAAAAAGTGGAAATACAATTATAGATGAATTTATTTTTGAAAAAAAGTTAAAATGGATTCCTTATAATAAATTTAAAAATATTGAATATCTTGATAAAGGAGGATTTAGTACTATATACAAAGCTACTTGGTTAAATAATAATAATGATAAAGAAATAATTCTTAAATGTCATGATAATTTAAATGATAATTTAAATGAATTTTTAAATGAAGTATGATATTATATTATTTATTTCTTTTAATTTAATTTACAATTTATTTATTAATTAATATGTTATTATTTTATAGTGGAAATATCATGAAAGCTGTTTAGATTCATATGATATTATTTATTTTTATGGATTTACAAAAAAACCGGATACTTTGAAATATATGGTAGTAATGGATTATGCAAACAAAGGTAATTTAAGAGGAAACCTAACAAGAATAATCAAAAATAATTGGAATCAAAAGTTATATATGTTGTATGAAATTATTTCTGGGCTTATTAATATACATAAACAAAATCTTATTCATTGTGATCTTCATGATGGAAATATTTTAAATCATAATGAGAGTAAAATTTATATTAGTGATTTAGGATTATGCAAACCTATAAAATCATTTTTGAAAAAGTATAGTATTTATGGTGTTGTACCATTTATGGCACCTGAAATTTTAAGAGGCAAACCTTATACCCCAGCTAGTGATATATACAGTTTTTCTATGATTATGTGGGAATTTACATCTGGGATACCACCATTTAATAATAGAGCACATGGTATTCAACTTAGTTTAGATATTTGTGAAGGTGAACGTCCTGAAATTATTGAAAATACTCCACAATGTTATGTAGATTTGATGAAAAGATGTTGGGATGAAAATCCATTAAAAAGGCCATCTTCTGAAATAGTTTTAAATATTATTAAAGAATGGATATTTCTTCCTTATGACAGGAAAATTGAAGATATTAATGAAGAATTAAAATGCAATATTATGGAATTCATAAATGCACCAATAGGGCATAACAATCTTACTACTGAATCTCATCCACAGGCTTGTTATACAGGTCGCTTACTTGATTTTACTAGTAAAAAATTGAATGAAATTCTTGAAAGTAAAAACTCACAAGCTAGTATAAAATTGAATGAAATGTCATTAAGTGAAGATTTGAATGAGTATAAAATTGAAGATTTGAAGTAATTAGGTATGCAATATAGTATATACAAAAATTAATTTTGAAAATTGTTTATATGAAATTAATTTCACTTATTTAATTATTTAGATATTAAAACAGATGAAAATTTACTTGTGTTTTAAAAAAGTTTTATAGTTTTTTATAAGTGATATTTGATATTATGCATTTAACAAAAATTGTTCTTTATTTTATTCCTTTAGATTTATTATTTATTCATTAAAGGCTAGAGTAGTAAAATTCTTAGTTTGTAATTTAAATAATTCCTTTTTTTTATATTTTATCAAAATATTAAATATATGTATTCTCTTAGAATTATTTAAACACTAAGGCTATCATAGTAGTAAATATTTTACAAATTAATTAGTTTGTAATTTAAATAAATCTTTTTTTAATTATTTTAAAAATATAAATTATCATTTATCAGAATGATTAAACATACAAACAATTTTCAATATATAAAATTAAAATAGATAATTTGTAAATTTCTTATGTTTATTTTCAAGACTGATGATAATATTAATTAAAATTTCAGTTAGTACCAAAATTTCTAAATCAGGTAAAAAATTTTACAGATCGTTAACATAAAAATCAGACGTTTAGCTCATGGGTTGAACCGGTTGATTTCAATCACTGACTAAAATAAAATTTAAATATAAAAAAAATTCTAAAACGACAAAAAATTGGCTAAAATAGTAAAATGTATTTTCTAAATAAAATCTTTTAACTTTAGTTCTTTACATATAGAAATTAATAACTTATAAAATTTTCTTTAAAGTTCCAGATACAAACTATGTTATATAATTTTTATGCTCCAATTCTACATAATCTAATTCCTTTAAATACAACTTATGATGAAAACTACTGTAAATCCAGTGCGAAAAAAGATAAAATAAAATGTGCATTTTTATTGGCTGGAGATCATGTGGCGGACAGAGTCAGGTGATCATTTTTTTTTTGTAACAGACAAACTTACATTATGGTCAAAATCTGACATAAAACAAATAAATAAATTAAGGTCAAAATCGGTTCTATACTTGTTTTATTATATCCTTTAAATATGATGAGAATAAATATTATATTGCAGAAATGAATAATTACGTATACAAAAAATGTTTCAGGAGTTTTTTTTTTGGCAAATAGGGTTAGAAAATTTCACAAAATACAGAATAATTTTCATTGTAAATTATTCCCTATATTGATGTTATCAAAGTTTAAATAAAATTACTAAAGTATACGTTCATATTTTATAATCAATGACCGTATCTTATTTTAATTCAAAGGTCCTATTTTAACTTTAAATAAATAATCCTTTACAATACATATTTGAATCATGATATAAAATTTTCGGGTTTATGAACTCGAGGAATACTATTTAATTTTTTGTTTTTCGTCATAAAGGTTATATCTATCTAAATTGCACGTGTTGTGCGATCTGTGGACGTGAACTTTATTGTTGTATATCTTTGGTATTTGGTATGTGCACTTTATAAATATCTGTACCACTGTGCAGAAAATACTCATTAAAGAGAGTTTAAAAAACAAATTATATATCATGCTAAGAATACACACGCTTTACAATAGTATACTGCTAATTGCTACATAATTAACGAATAGTAATAATTTATTAAACAAACATTAGTATTTACGATTGCAAATTTATGTATTCAACAAATATAATATTTCACCCAGTATATATTGAATGAGATTTTTGTCCTCGATATTTAAATTAAATTAAACTAAATTTAAACAAAATCCGTATAAATATACAGGATATTTTATATTTTTCCAAATCACTAAATATAACTGAAAATAATATTACTAGGTGTAACCTGTCGCGTTGCGCCGGGATAATACTTGCCCATCAAGTAAGAGAGTAATAATAACACACTTATCAGTTATATTTTATTTACCATGCAGTGTGAATAGGTCTAGTTTTTACTATTAGTCGGAAATAATTTTAATAAATTACAAGTTTTATACAGTATATGAAATATTATTTATTATTAAATGCAAATTTTATTTCACGAAACAAATGTTGCAGTATTGCGAAATTTACAAATTCATTACAAAAACAATTTTTGTATAAGTAGTTTATTGTTACATTGTTACAAAAAAAACTTTTTTTTTTTATCTTAAAAAATTCCATTGTAGCATTAAAAAAATTACATCCTCTGTTGAANACTGTACAATAGAAACAAGAAAAACAAATTCATTACAAAAACAATTTATATAAGTAGTTTATTGTTACATTGTTACAAAAATATCTTTTTTTTTTTATTTTAAAAAATTCCATTGTAGCATTAAAAAAATTACATCCTCTGTTGAAATTTGAAAAAAAATACATATATATTGTTAGTTATCATATCTCAAAGAAATTCATTATAGCAATCTATTGTTATAGAAAAAAAAAAATCTAACTAATTAAAATGAAAAAAAAAAATTCCCAGGAAAATTAATTATAACGATCTATTACAAAAATAAATAAATAAGTAATTATGTTTGAGCTTGATACAACCTAAAAAATGATATTATTAATAATAAGAATCGGAAAAAAACCATGGCGCCACAACATCGATCTGATCACTGATCCAAACCTAAATGGTGAAAGAATGTATTCGGAAAAAAAATAAAGCCAAACCGAAAAAAGAGAAGGGGAAAAAAATTTTCGGATTTGAAAAAAGCCAACCGGGAAAAAAAAAAGGTGTTTCGAAAGAGAAAAGACGAAATTTGAAAAAAAAAGAAAGAACCAAAAGTAAAAGATTGGTTCAAGAAAAAAAAATGAAAATTAAGAAATAATAAATATTTGGAAAAAAAAAAAATTCTGATTAAAAATTTCATTAACCGGAATTGGATTAGATGTACAACATGACTTTGCCGATCAAGCGGGTCTTAACTATAAAGAATACGGATCAGCAATTCAAAATTAATTTATAAAGGCTAATCAATTACAGTATATAGATTTTTTTGATTATATAGATTAATAATATTCGTAATTGACCGATCGACTGCGAATTTTTTTTAAAAAAGATTTTTACTGTAATAAAATTATTTCTGATTAATAGTTCAACGCCCGTTTGATTATCAAGCTGAAATGGTTATCTGTTAAAAAAGAAAAATTAATTTCGTAAAAAATCACTTTGACCGGATCCTTAAATTGTTTAGCTGAAAAGAATTTTTAATAAATATACACGTACAGTATTTTCATAGAAACAACTTTTTAAAAAATAATGTATTTTAATTAACAGCAGGTTCATACATAGAAAATAGCTAAGATAAGAGTAGCAGGTCAAAAGAAATAATTTATAGTTCAAGTTTTATGATAAAATTGGATAAAAAAAATTTGTAAATTTTTTACGCATTTTTTAAGTAATTATATTTTGATTTTAATGACCGTAACCGTAATTGTCAGATTTTTTTTAAAAAAAATGAATTGAAAGAATTAAAATTTCTATTCTTAATTTTTTTTTTTTTACTAAACAATTTTTGGTTATACGCTATTATTTCTTTACAATTATGATTCACCTATTTTAATTTCTTATGCGAAACTGCGAATATTTTATATTTTGAAACATTTTTTTTTGTCCTATAAGTCACGTTTTATTTAATAAACGACGATGAGATTTTATATAATAAAAAAAATTCAAACTTAAAAGGTTAATAAAAAGAATAAACAAAAAAATAAAAAAAAGTGATTATTGTGAAAAGTAACTTAAACATAAATGGAAATCATAAACACGATCCATACGAACCAAGTTTTTTCTTCGACTTTTCATTAAGAAAATGAAAGAAATTTTTTCAAATAAAAAATGAAAATTAAAAACGTGCAAATGAATAATAATAACATGGCTATATCGTTTAATAAATTTTACCAAGAATTAAAAAGGATTGAATATATTATTTATTCATATATCCTGAAACAAATAATGAAAGAGATCATAGGTATTAAAATATTTACAACATGTATCATTTAAAAAGTGTTCATAACCTACTCATATTTTTCAGAATTTCTTTTAGTTAGTGTAAATTGGTGACACGTAGTTTATTTTTAAATGTAAAGTATGACAGTGTCAATGACTTACTAAAATGGTAATCATTTATACATTGAAGTAACAAATCACCGTTTGCCAAGAATTTTGTGTAATACAACTTACCGTTACTGCGCTCAGTGCGCTGAAATGCTAAATTAAAAATTTTCTTTCTTTTTTTTTTTTTTGTTATGGGAAGAGCTCGAAATTTGTGGAGGACCAGGTTCTATACCTTATTTCAACGCCGAATGCATAATTCAATCGTATTACGCAAATCCAACAATGTAAGTCACATGACATGCATATCACGTGATAATTTACATTTTCTATTTATATAACCTCGGTCCGAAACAATATCTTTTCCACTTTTTAACCCGCACAACTTGTTTTAGCTTTTTTTATATCCCCTCAATTTGAATTTGTTTATAAATTACAAAAGTTCTGCTCATGGATTCTTTTGGGCTAATTAAGCCATCAGATGCTAGCGAGATATGTGAAAAATGTTATTACATATGTTATGCAATGCGATTTCAACAAAATTTCAAAAATTGGACTAGTGGTAATGATAATATTGATAAATTTATTCAAGATACTCAGTTATCAGCTCATGAAGATGTAAGGGAAGTATTGGAATGGATACCTTATGATAGGTTGTATAATATTAAATATATTGCAAAAGATGAGTTTGGTAAAGGTAAAGTATATAGAGCAAATTGGATTGATGGATATATAAGTGATTATGAAGACGATGAAAGTTTGGATAGTGAAAGCAAAAATTGGATAAGAGAAGGATGCAATATGTTTGTGAATTTGAAGAGTTTAAATACTCCAAATATTCTTACATTGGAATTTATAAATAAGGTATATATAAGTTTATGTTAATTACATAACAAAATTATGAATATTTTATTTTTCTAAATATTATTACATTTGTAGATTAAAATTGAACATGAATTTTATGGAATAACTTTGGATTCAGAAACAAGAAATTATATGGTGGTTTTGAATAATAAATGTAAAGAGTGTAATGAAATGTGTAATTCAATATACTTTCAACAAAATTTTGAAAATTGGACTAGTGGTAATGATAATATTGATAAATTTATTCAAAATACACAGTTATTAGCTCATAAAGATGTAAGAGTAGCATTAGAATGGATACCTTATGATAGATTTCATGATATTAAATATATTGCAAAAGATGAAGTATATAGGGCAAATTGGATTGATGGAAATATATATTATTATTACTATGGTACTAGTAAAAGTTGGGATAATAAAAATCAAAATTGGATAAGAGAAGGATGCAATATGTTTGTGAATTTGAAGAGTTTAAACACTCCAAATATTCTTACGTTAGAATTTATAAATAAGGTATAAGTTTAAGTTAAGTACATAACAAAATTATAAATATTTTATTTTTCTAATATATTATTACATTTGTAGATTAAAATTGAACATGAATTTTATGGAATAACTTGGGATTCAGAAATAAAAAATTATATGATGGTTTTGAATAATAAATGTAAAGAGTGTAATAAAATGTGTAATTCAATGTACTTTCAACAAAATTTTGAAAATTGGACTAGTGGTAATGATAATATCGATAAATCTATTCAAAATACACAGTTATTAGCTCATGAAGAGGTAAGTGTAGCATTAGAATGGATACCTTATAATAGATTGTATAATATTAAATATATTTCAAAAGATGAGTTTGGTAAAATATATAGAGCAAATTGGACTGATGGATATATAATATATGATAAAAGTTATGAAAGTTGGGATAATAAAAATCAAAATTGGATAAGAGAAGGATGCAATATGTTTGTGAATTTGAAGAGTTTAAACACTCCAAATATTCTTACGTTAGAATTTATAAATAAGGTATAAGTTTAAGTTAAGTACATAACAAAATTATAAATATTTTATTTTTCTAATATATTATTACATTTGTAGATTAAAATTGAACATGAATTTTATGGAATAACTTGGGATTCAGAAATAAAAAATTATATGATGGTTTTGAATAATAAATGTAAAGAGTGTAATAAAATGTGTAATTCAATGTACTTTCAACAAAATTTTGAAAATTGGACTAGTGGTAATGATAATATCGATAAATCTATTCAAAATACACAGTTATTAGCTCATGAAGAGGTAAGTGTAGCATTAGAATGGATACCTTATAATAGATTGTATAATATTAAATATATTTCAAAAGATGAGTTTGGTAAAATATATAGAGCAAATTGGACTGATGGATATATAATATATGATAAAAGTTATGAAAGTTGGAATAATAAAAATCAAAATTGGATAAGAGAAGGATGCAATATGTTTGTGAAATTGAAGAGTTTAAATACTCCAAATATTCTTACATTGGAATTTATAAATAAGGTATGAGTTTAAGTTAAGTACATAACAAAATTATAAATATTTTATTTTTCTAATATATTATTACATTTGTAGATTAAAATTGAACATGAATTTTATGGAATAACTTGGGATTCAGAAATAAAAAATTATATGATGGTTTTGAATAATAAATGTAAAGAGTGTAATAAAATGTGTAATTCAATATACTTTCGACAAAATTTTGAAAATTGGACTAGTAGTAATGATAATATCGATAAATCTATTCAAAATACACAGTTATTAGCTCATAAAGATGTAAGAATAGCATTAGAATGGATACCTTATAATAGATTGTATAATATTAAATATATTTCAAAAGATGAGTTTGGTAAAATATATAGAGCAAATTGGACTGATGGATATATAAGATATGATAAAAGTTATGAAAGTTGGAATAATAAAAATCAAAATTGGATAAGAGAAGGATGCAATATGTTTGTGAATTTGAAGAGTTTAAATACTCCAAATATTCTTACATTGGAATTTATAAATAAGGTATAAGTTTAAGTTAAGTACATAACAAAATTATAAATATTTTATTTTTCTAATATATTATTACATTTGTAGATTAAAATTGAACATGAATTTTATGGAATAACTTGGGATTCAGAAATAAAAAATTATATGATGGTTTTGAATAATAAATGTAAAGAGTGTAATAAAATGTGTAATTCAATGTACTTTCAACAAAATTTTGAAAATTGGACTAGTGGTAATGATAATATCGATAAATCTATTCAAAATACACAGTTATTAGCTCATGAAGAGGTAAGTGTAGCATTAGAATGGATACCTTATAATAGATTGTATAATATTAAATATATTTCAAAAGATGAGTTTGGTAAAATATATAGAGCAAATTGGACTGATGGATATATAATATATGATAAAAGTTATGAAAGTTGGAATAATAAAAATCAAAATTGGATAAGAGAAGGATGCAATATGTTTGTGAAATTGAAGAGTTTAAATACTCCAAATATTCTTACATTGGAATTTATAAATAAGGTATGAGTTTAAGTTAATTACATAACAAAATTATAAATATTTTATTTTTCTAATATATTATTACATTTGTAGATTAAAATTGAACATGAATTTTATGGAATAACTTGGGGTTCAGAAACAAAAAATTATATGATGGTGTTGAATAATAAATGTAAAGAGTGCAATAAAATATGTAATTCAATTCGCTTTCAACAGAAATTCCTAGATTGGACTAGTGGAAATGATGATATTGATAAATTTATTCAAAATACTCAGTTATCAGCTCATAAAGATGTAAAGGAAGCATTGGAATGGATACCTTATGATAGATTTTATGATATTGAATATATTGCAAAAGGTGGGTTTGGCAAGGTATACAGAGCATATTTAAATGATGGATTTATAACTGATTGGGATGATTTAAATAAAAACTGGAAAAGAATTAGCAATGATATATTGGTAGCTCTGAAAAGTTTGGATAATTCAAAAAATATTGCATCAGAATTTATTAATGAGGTATTACCTGATTAATTTAATTTATTATTTATGGTCATAAAATTTAAATTATTAGTTTTACTAAAATATTTATAATATTACATACACATAGATTATATTACATAATAAGGTAGGAATGGAAAATTTTGCGATTGTTGGATTTTATGGGATAACACAAGATCCAAAAACGAAAAATTATATAATGGTTTTAGATTATGCAGAAGATGGAAGTTTACGAAATTATTTAGATAAAGAATATAAAAAGCTTACTTGGAATAAAAAGTTCGATTATTTACGACATATTACAAATGGACTTGAATGTATTCATGAAAAGGAATTAATTCATCGAGATTTGCATATTGGAAATATATTAAAGTTTAAATATAAAACTGCTATAACTGATATGGGACTATGTAAACCTGCAAATTATAATGCATTAGAAAACGTAAAAAACAACATATATGGTGTTTTGCCTTATATAGCCCCTGAAATTTTAAGAGGAAAAAATTATACCAAAGCTGCTGATATTTATAGTTTTGGTATAATAATGTATGAAGTGATTTCTGGATTACCTCCATATTATGATTTAGGCCATGATAAAAATTTGGCAATAAAAATTTGCCAAGGTCTAAGACCGAGATTTAATATTAAAGTACCACAGTTAATTGTACATTTAATTAAAAGGTGCTTAGATGCCAATCCATCAGAACGGCCAATAACAAAAGAAATAAATAATATTTTACGAAGATGGCAAAATGGATCAAATGAAGAGTTACAAACACAAATTAAGGAAGCAGATGAAATAAATGAAAATTCATTAAATAGCATTATACCTTCATCTGATTTAGGGATATCATATAATACGCATTCAGAAGCTATTTATACAAGTAGGTTACTCGATTTTAATAATCTACCTAAACCAAAAAATTCCGATGATTATTATGAACAAAATGATAACATAATAAGCAAGGAATATTCAGGTATTAATTAAGTATTTGTTAACTGTTACTTTTTAAATATAATTAGAAGTATGATTACAATAATAATAATCTTCAATTTATTAAATAGAATCTTTACAACTTAACTTTTCTCAATTGAATATTAATACGAGCGGTAAATAACTTACTTATGTAATGACTTTAATATACAAAATACTAACAATAAAGATCAATTCATTAAATAGAATCTTTGCAAATCAACATTTCTCAATTAAATATTAATGAAAATGGTAAATATTCCACTTATAACATCAAAAATATTTATAAAATACTAATAACAAAGTTTCAATTTATTAAATAGAATCTTGTCAAATCAATATTTCTCAATTGAATATTAACGATAATGGTAAATATTACACTTATACTGTAACTTTAAAAATATTAGTTTATAATACTAACAATAAAGTTTCAATAGAATCTTGTCAAATCAATATTTCTCAGTTGAATATTAATGAGAATGGTAAATATTACACTTATAACTTTAAAAATATTAGTTTATAAATACTAAAAATAAGTCTTAATTTATTAAATAGAACCTTCATAAATCAATATTTATCGATTGTACGATAATGAAGATAGTAAATATTAATTTCTGCATAATAACTTCATGTTTTTTTCGTTCGTAATTAATATAATCTTTTTTTTTTTCTTAGGTCAAAATAGCGAATCAGGAAGCAAAAGAAAAAATTATTTCTTAAGTCAAAATAACGAATCTGAGAGTGAAAGAAAAAAAACTAAAATAGAATAAAATTATAATTATATATATCCTTTTTAGTTTTTTTGCTGCCGTTGCCGAGTTTAATTATAAAATTATTATTATTTTTTTTTTAAAAAAAAAATTTGCCATTATGATTTAAAATTCTGCATAACATCGGCTTTCTTAAAATCCAGGGAGATAGATAATCAACTAATTTTTTTTTTTTTTTGCTTTTTTATAATTATTTGAATTGCAAAATTTTTTTTTTATAAAAATTATGTTAGGTAGAATTTTAAATCATAATGACTTCATATTTAATTATATATAGATTTGTATTCATTGATTAAATAAATAACAATTTAAATTTTGAAAATATAAAGAATAAAATTATTTGGAATGAATATAATTCGGATTTTAATGCAAAAAAAGATTTATTATTGTAAATTTAAAAATTAACTTGCTGATATTTTACAATTGGAATATTTATTAACATTTGGTGCCTATTAACTTACATGCTTGTAGACTTAATACTATTACATTGGTTTGAAAGTTCTTTAGAAACTGCTGCTCTTAAAATAATATATAATGTGAAATGATGACATTAATTGATTAAATTTGAAGATAAACCAGCATATGTTTAAATGATAACAGATAAAATTGGTATAATTACAGCGATTAATGTAAGTTTTGTATACCATAATTAATGAATATATAGAAAGTAAGTAATGGAAATTGACAAAGTAAGTAACGTAAAGTCACATGATCTATTACGTTACTTCTCTTATATAAGGTACGGAAGGACGGAAGGTAAATTTTGGCGGATGATAGGTTATATGTTGAACATTCTTTCTTTGTATCGAACTATGTTCTTTTGATGATCTTGCCAACTTCACATAAAATAAAATAAAATAAAATAAACGGAAGGTAAATTTTTTTGGTAAATATTTTACGTTACTCCTTATATTTGCCACATGATCACATCATGTTTATTTATTTATCGAATCTCATTTTCAGTATAGATTCATTTCCTTGGTTCCTTCCAGTTTTGCAATTAAGGTTCAGTTGTTTTAGTTGTTTTTCACTTTACGTTTCATTTCTTACTCATTTTTTTATTTTGTTTATTTTGTTTCTGTTTCATATTTCGTTTTTCACTAATTTTATTTCATTTTTTTTTAGATATTTTAGTTCTTTCAGTTCTAAAGGTATGTTTTTTTTTTATTTTTTATTTAATTTTTTTTATTTCGTTTTTATCTTATATTTCGTTTCTTACTTTATGGTTTATTTTTTACTTGGTTTAGTGCTTCTAACGGAATGGGTCAACCTGGGTCATGTGACCTGATCTGACTTCAGATTTAATAATTTTTATGACCCGGTGACCCACATGACCTGACCCGATTGACCCGAGTTATTGAACAAATACTAATTAATTATAATAAATGAATGATAACAAAGCTTCATAATATTACAAATCTATTAAATCTATTATAATTTCATTAAGGTTTCATTATAATGCCAAAAATATGGTGTCGCTCATTTTTTTTTCCTTTGAAAATTCGGGTTTAGATCCAGGATATCCGGTTGAACGGTTGGGTTTAGAATCAAGACTTTTTCACTTTGGTCGGGTTGGGTATATCTTCAAAACCTGACCCGACTTGATCCGTTAGGAGCACTAACTTGGTTTCCTATCATTATCCAACTTCCTATCATGATCATTTTTTTTATTTTTTGTCTCATTATTTTTCATCTCATATTACTTCTCATTATTCGTCTCCCATTATTTCTATTACATTTTTTCATTTTCCATTATTTTTTTTTTCTCTCCTGTTTACTTCCCATCATTTTTTTTGTCTCTCATCACTTCCTTTCGTTTCCCATCACTCCTTTTTGTCTCCCATCACTTCGTTTTGTCTCTCATCACTCCTTTTTGTTTCTCAACATTTCTTTTTGTCTCTCATCACTTCCTTTCGTCTCCCATCACTCCTCTTTGTCTCTCATCACACCTTTTCGTCTCCCATCACTCCTCTTTGTCTCTCATCACACCTTTTTGTCTCTCATCATTTCTTTTTGTCTCTCATCATTTCTTTTTGTCTCTCATCATTTCTTTTTGTCTCTCATCACTTCCTTTCGTCTCTCATCACTCTCCTCTGTCTCCCATCACTTCTTTTCGTCTCCCATCACTCCTCTTCGTCTCCTATCACTTCTTTTTGTCTCCCATCATGTCCTATTTCTCCTTTTTGTTTCCTATTACTTCTAATTGCTCTTTTTTACTCCCTTTCATCTTCTATTACTTTTCATTATTCCATTGTTATTTCATTTTTTTATTAGCATCTTTCTCCTTGATCATTATAATTTACTTATCTTTTTTATTTATTGTTATTGTTTTTTTTAATTGTATCACTTCATGGTGATTTTTTCTTTAAAATCGAAAATGTGTGAATTAAATTTTAATATTTGCAAATAAAATTTCATTAATAAGATTATTTTGAATTAAATATATTTGCAAAAATTTTTTTTTTAAAAAATATCTTTGCAATAAAATTTTAAGTTTAACAGATCAAAAATTAGCTAAGTTAAAACAATCAGCCATCAGCCGATTAATAAATTTACTCTATATATTGTGCATCATGTGACAATTGTGACATACTTGAAAAACCCAGGTGATGATTGCCCGGGTGACGTTTAGCAATCCCCTTATATCATTTTCTGTACCTTATATAAGGGGAGTAACGTAAAGTAAATATAATTGACTTTACGTTCCGTGCCTTATATAAGGGAAGTAACGTAAATTGTATCGTATGTACACGCTGTAAAATAGTAATAACCTTTCTTTTTCCCATTTTTAATAAGAAAATATTGAAAAAATGAAAAGATTTAATGTGAAACTATTGTACAAAAGCTATTTTTGTAGTGCATAATGGACATTTACTACTATCAATCGATCTAATTACTGTAAATCACTGACCCTTTTTTACTCTTTATTAAAAAGAAAGATACTGCAATTCTAAGTGATAAATAATATAAAAGTATCTTGTAGTAAATTTTTATATTAAAACTAATTCAACCAAGACAGTAAAATCCTCAGTTTTCTCTATATTTTAGCAGTAATAAAGGATGTAATATATATCACTCACTCTGTTATGCATTAAAAATAAATTAGATTTCATTATTTGCTTCAAGATATTTTAACCTTTTAATCATCATCACCTTGTCGAATAGGCAAAATAATCATGTAAATCTTACTTTTTTTGGACAATTTTGATAATGTTGGCCAGAATTTTATTTCCTGTTTTAATAACTGACTGACACTATAATAATTCTTGCCTTGAAAAAATGTGTACAGCCAATAATAAATCTTTTTTTGGTTGGACTTTACTTATTTTAATATTTTTCGGAAGACCCAATATATCTCCATTTATTTTAATTTTAGTTTCATTTTTGTCTATTTTAATATTTTTATTTGTACTTGGTTTGCCTAATCACTTTTAATTACTATACCCAAAATATTTTTGAGCTTGATAAGATTAAATGATTCAGTTCATTTTGATGGAAATGGAATTATGCTTTCTTTTACTCTTACCATAAGTTTTCTGTGAACAACAAGATAATAAAATATAGTTAGTATAAAATCTTCAGGTATTTATTAAGATAAAAGCATTTGAATTAATAGTATAAAAACTAATAATAAGACTTGATCTAATAAATAGCATCTTTATCTTTACAAATAAAAATTAATTATGTAAATTTAACTTAATTATAATAATCCTGCTTTTTATACATGATTGATGGATTTTGTTTTTATTTATTCATTTATTTTTATTTATTTTATTTTTAAATAGATAACAAATCTAAAAGTAAAATCTAGAATAAAATCATATTTAACATTAGGCAATTTCTATTTGAACACGGGTGTTTGAACCCGGGTCATGTAATTATTGACATTTTGACTAATAGTATAAACTTCAAAATTAGTATATAAATGGATTTTTGCCTGCTCTACAAGTTTACCTAAGGTATCAAAGGTGCTTTTAAATGTCAGTTTTGACTTTACCTATGAATAATTGATTTTGCCGATCGTTCTTAAAAAAAATTTAGGAAATGATTGGCAAAGACAGTTTTTCATATATAAGTCAAAAACGGCATTCAAAATCCCCTTTGATGCCTTAAGTAAACTTGCAGAGCAGTCAAAAATACATATATATTACATAGAAAAAGTAAAAGGATGTGACATTGGTGTCATTATTTCACATAACCCATGTTCAAACACCCCGCGTAAACTTTGAAATTTTCTTAACATCATTAGTCAGGTATATTTATCAAATTTTTTATTAAAATTTTTTTTTGGACCATTATAGTTTAAAATTCTGTTTAACGATAATTTTTGCTGGTAGGGTTTAAAACTTTAAATTATTTAACACCTCATTTGATTTAAAATGAGTTTTTTTTTGCCTATGATAATTAGTTGAATTTCTTTTTAATAAGACTTTATTAATCAAAAATGGAAGTGCAAAAGAGGGAGAATAGGAATAATATTAATAAATAGAATTGTAATTTGTAATTATCTCTTTTATTTAATTTGTATTCATTTTCCATTTATTAATAATTATTTAATTATTAATTAAATAAAGATTTAAACCTAATTTTTGGAGCATAATAAAATTAATAATAAGAGAGAATTAATGATTGTATAATTGAAAAAATGTTCATAATTATATTCTGGCAACCCTATAAAGACAGTTTGTACACAAATAATATTGAATACATTCAGAAAATGTACAAAGGAGTCATTATTTGTCTGTAAAATAAACAAATTTTTGCGATTGTATATTATTGGTTATAAAAATTGTATGATAATTGATCATTTATATGTACAATAAGTGAACAATAACAAATATTGTGCAAACTTTGTACAAAATAAAAACCATTCTGTCTACAAATTATATAATAGCTGACATTTTTTCACATTTGTACAATAATTAATAATACAACTATTTCAATTATTCACTATATGGTTACTATTGGAGACAACAAAAAAAACCACCTGAAATAATAATAATAAATAATAGTGAAATTATAAAAAAAGCTTAGGATGGAATCTGGAGGACTCGTATCTGTATATTAAATTTCATAAAATATTTTCATGAACTGAATGGTCATGCACAATTAAGATAATAAATTATTTAACCTTAAAAGTTCTTAGCTATCAGTGCCTATTTTTTTGATTACCATATAATAATCCTGTAATGTATATTTTGTAATAATTGACAATATAATTGCTATTATAATTTAATATATATTAAAATACCATATTACAATAAAATGTAAAAAAATAATAATTTTGTAATATATGACAATTATCCTTTTATATTAATTACAATAATAATATTAAATATCATACTTGTTAATAGACTTATTAATATATATGTTATTAAATATGATATTTACATGACATGTCAAAAATTCCTATTAATATTATTTAAAAAGCATTATAAAATACTACCAAAAAAATCACCACTGATAGCAAAGTTGGTTCCTTTTAAGGTTCATCATTGTGAAATAATGTTTGATTTATTCACAATATCTGCTGGATACAACTAATACAACTAATTTTCCCATCTTTACTTTTTCTGAACTTGATATAAATGTTTCATACCTTAACACATTAATAGTTTGCGCACTGGTAATGATTTTACTATTCCAAGTTTAGTTGGAATTTTTAAGTCAATTGTGTATTTATCCCATTTATTAATAATAGCTTTAGTGTCTTCATTATTGTTTTGAGCGATAAGGATATTTTTGACAGCTTGATGAATAAGTGCACCAATTGTATCATCTTTTCTTAACTTTACTAAATTAGTTGCTTACTTGCTTTTAAATGCAAATGAAGTGCTTGTTGCCATGCATCATCAATAATAAATTCTGTTAATTCATCATATGGTTCTTCTGCCCTATTTTGTTAATATTTATTAATAATTATTAGATGATGAGCCTATAAAAAATAGCAATTACTTATTAATATATTGAATATGAACCTTTCATATACTGTTTGAACTCGTTCACAAGCTTTATAACAGACAAATGGAATTTGTATTGGTAAGTGTTGAACCATCCAGCAATATCTTTAGCTAAACTTTCCAATCTTGTGCTGATTTTGTATACTCAAACAATAGTGTTTTTTATTGTATTTTATTGCTTGAAGAATCTAAAAAAACAATATGAGTAAAATAATAGAACTGGTTAAAATTTTAATATTTTTTGCAGAACCAAATATTAATGAATTTATGTAACATATTTTTAGTTGATAATTCTTTTGGAAAAACCATAAAAACATGTTAAAAAAATATTTTATGATTTTTTTTACTTACTAAATTTTCGCTTAGGACATCTTTATTACTATTTTATAAAAATTTGATATTAACATAAATATAAATGAAATAAAAAGCTTATACAAAAAAATAAATAAATAAAATAAATAAAATAAAAAATAAAAAATTGTCAGCCAAAATAATTAAAATTTCTTTTAAAAAAGACTTACATCATTCAATCATCTCCCCAATTGTTAATATTTCCTAATATAGGGATCAAAGATTTTATTTTAATCTGTTTATATATACTGATGCAATTGCAATATCAATATTAATAAATAAAGTTAGTTTTTTTATTTAATACTGGCATGGTCTGTCAATAGTCAAATTAGACTAATATACTAATATTTGACTTTGCCGAATATTTGCTGAAACTGCCTGATCAGCGAAAGATAGTCAAAAAAGTTAATATTTAAATCTTCTTAGAATCTTTTTGACTTTGATTCCTCTTGGATAAAGGTAAATAAATATATAATTTTATTATTTTCAAAAAAAAAATTTTCACGAATGGCATTTTATTTGTTTCAACTTCAGTCTGTAAGTACATAGATAAGCTCCTCTGACTTCATTTCAGCTTTGGAAGGCGAGAGCTTTTTTCAAAATTAAATTTGTAGAAACGTTTTACTAACATTTCTTTTTTTTTTTTTTTGTAGGAATTACCAGCAATAAGACTTTAAGATGAGAAAAGGTTGGAACTTTTTTTTATCTTTTCTTTTTTTAATTTAAGAATCATTTTAACATTTCTTTTCATTAATTTTTTTTGTAGGGTTTCGGCTTGAATGAACTAGACTTTAAGGTAAGAAATGGAAAAGAGGGAAGGAGTAATTTTATTTTAAATCTAAGAAACAAACTAACGTTTCTTTTTTATTGCTTTTTTTTATAGGATGCTGGCTTGGACACAAACTGGACTTTAAGGTAAAAAATAGGGAAAGGGGGAAGGAGGAAGAGGATTTTTTTATTTAAATATAGGAATGAACTAACGTTTCTTTTTGTATTTTTTTGTAGAACACCAGCTTGGACTATAAGGAGATAATCAGAATTTTCTTTTTATCAATCCAATATATAAATTACCGAAATATGATTAAGATCGAACCATACTTCACTGAATCCTTATAATTTGAATCCATACGAATGCTAATATTTTATTTAGGTATAATTTTTTTATATGGTAGAAGGAAATAGGAATGAATTTTTATATCATGTCAATTCCCCTCATTTACATTATTTGTAATAATAAAGATGTTTTGTCAAACATCAACTTTATTAAACTTTCCCATGTCAATTTAAAATCATCACCTCTAATAAGAAATTCTCATGAAATTTGGAATTAACAAAATTAATCAAAATTTTAGGATTTCATACAAACATTTTTTAAACAAAGAGATCAAAGAATTCCGATAATTATTATTTTAAGAATTTTTCATTAAAATTCGTTTTTTTTTTTGATTTAAATCAAAGATAATTTTTGAGTATGTACGGAAATATCGTATGTTTAATTTGCTAAAATTATTTTACCATTTTTTTTCATCAAGAAAAACTTGTACAGTAAAATATTAAATTGAATGTGCATTATATCGCACAAATGATTACGTCAGTATAATAATTTAATGAAAGCTAAAATTCATGGTTTTTACTTTAGAAATATTTTAAGGCCCATTTTTCATTTTTCACTTTTAAAGTAAAATTTAAATGGTGATCTTATTACGATTCGATAAATTACATCTATTGTAGAGTGTAGAGTTATTTAATAAAATAACAACAAAGACCATCGAGATTAGGTTCCGGCATACTTTACAGACAACACGTGGCGTGATGCCTTAGGCCAGAGTTATGTCGTAATGTGGGCCAGGTGATTAATTGTCACGTACTGTGTTGTCGGTGAAAATTTTTGTTGGTCAAATGTCTTTCAATGAAATGGGGAGCTGCTCAAAATCCCAACGATCAGAATCCCGTTATAACACAAGCTCGACGCTCACAAATCATAATCTCGAAAGTTCAAATCCTGACACTCATTATACCGACACTTATTATCTTCTTTTTTTAATTTTTACATTTTTTTTTTAGACGTAATATTTTTTGTAATACTTTGTGGCGATTATTAATATTACTTATTTTGGAGAGTTGGAAATAATATACCGAAGGAAAAAAACCCCTAATATTTTCCCGGTCATTCATAAGCTCAGCTAATCACTCCGCAATTTTTAAAACACTTAGTGCGACAGGGGATTATTTCTATTCAATTATTTAATAATTTTAAAAATACAATAATATAATTTTTTTAAAAATATTTCGATGTTTTTATTTTAAAAAATTATATTTTTATTAATATTTAATAATTTTAATAATCAAACTTCGCTTATTAATAAAATAAAAATGTAATGTTTGTATATAAAGATATAATTTTTTTTTTTAATAACGGGATTATTAAGTGTCGGGATAATTGAGTGTCTGGATTTTGAAATTTGATTTGTCAGAATTGTGAGCTCATAACGGGATTCTGATCGTCGAGATTTCCTCATTTTTCGTCCGAAAAAGGATTTCTCCGTAGTTAAGATAATTTTCACAATTTAAGACCTTCCCCATAGTTAATATAAAATCCCCCTACTAACATATGATTATGTAATTTTTTTTTAAATTGAAAATTTCGCATTATTGCCATTTTAATTATTGATTTTAAATTTTTTCATATTATTTTTTTTTTAAAAAAAACATTCAATATATTACAAATAATTGATAATTATCGATTTTAATTGAATATTTGGTTTATGATCGAAAAAGTTAATCTATCAATATGCTTTAAAATAAATATTCAATAAAAGACTAGACTAATTATTAATATATTTTGTTTTGAAAAATTTAATACGTAACTTATTTGTAAAGTAAATATAAATTCTAGTTGTTTGATTACGACATTGGCTATATATATAATTATGATAACATAAGTATAGGAACATAATTAGAGTATTAAAAATTAAATTTGGTATATACATAGTAGTAATTTTAACATGTGCTAAAATTATACGTGTTGAGATAAAATCAAAATGGTGGAAAAACTGGAAATATGATTTTTAATGTAACTCAGGAGATTAAGACCGAGCTATTGATAATTACGTTTTAACGAAACATTAACAATATTCATATCTATTCATAGTATAAAAAAATAAATTATAAATTAGTTCATTATGGTTAAACATGACATTTTATAATAATTATTTTTTAACCATAATTGAGGTTCGATCATGTCGGCAAATTGGCTTGTCGGCAAATCAAGTTTTTTTATAAGGAAACACGTAAATGAAAATTGCAGAAATTTTCAGTCAATTAGTTTTTTATTACATAACAAGCAGGATAATATATGAGGTAAAAATAGGATTAATCCATATTTTATCGACCAGGACGGTAAAATTATAATATAGATAATGATAAATATATATATATATATTGTATTAGAAATTAAAAATAACATTAATAAAACTATCAAAGTTAATTAAATAAAAGGTCTTCTTAAAGAATATAAAGCAAATAAAGCTAACTAAATACAAATAATTTTAACTAGGGTTCTGGCAATATGACATGTCTTGTTGATTAAAATGCCAAGTAGCAACAGTTCCGGTAAATTTAAAACAGGTATCTGAGTTAAATGGTCCTCTATTTTTTGTTTCTCTCTTGCTGCCCATAACCTTTGCGTGAAGGTAATATGGATTAGCTTGTATGTCTCGAGAATGAAAAGTTACACTTGGATCTCCATTTTCGCAATTCAACCATCCGGTAGTCATTACAGTATTACCATAATTATCTGTAGCCCAAACTTTACATTGCGAAAAAAACACAAATATACCGAAAGTAGAATTAAATGCTTCAATTTGTTCAATTGCTATAATACAAATTATGGCAACAACGGTTAAAGGAATGGAAATTTTCATATTGTATTTTATGAAATTTGCTTAGGATTTTTTTTTTTTTTAATAAAAAATTTTCTTGCGTTATTGTCAGATTATATATATTTTTTGGTATCTAAGTATGTAATCAAAAAAGTCTCCTTTTTCATATGTTATTTATCATATTTCATCCCTATAAAAATGAAATGTGTTAAATTCATTTTATTTTGTTTATGTGTAAAAAACGACTATTTTGTCTGATTTATGTCTTATTACAAAAAAAAACCGAAAAAGGAATGTTTGAAAAAAAAAGAAAGAAAAAATCGGAAAAAAACTGAAAAAAATTTGAAAAAGGAAATAAACATCAAAAGAATTTTTTTTAATTATATACTAGATGATCAGTCCAAAAAACAAAAAGACTGGAAAAGAAAAATTAATAATAAAAAAAGGGGAAAAAGATTTTAAAAAAAATATTCGGTCTTAAAGAAGGACCGAGGGAAAATAACTTACAGCTGATTTCACAATGTACGGGACATTTAGCAAATTTTAAAGAACTCGGAATTATTCGGTAAAGTTCAAAATAAAGATAAAATTATACCACCATTCTCGGAATAGTACGATACTCCAAAATTAGCGTATAATTTTTATTTTATATAAAGCTTACCGAATATTTCCGAGTTCTTTAAAATTTGCTAAGTGTCCCGTACCCTACGAAACGGGAACCGTGATTTCATTGGGTAACGATCACGTGGCGGTCAAAGTAATTCACGTGATCGGTTTTTTGTCGCTATGAAATCAGCTGTAAAACAAAAAATTGATTGGCAGACCGAAAAAAAATCAATTCGAGTTTTCGCGTGCGTTACACTACAGAAGAGTAAAGAATTTTTTAATTATATAAATATATATATATATATTTTTATTACCATTCATTATTTTTTTTCTTTCTCGCACTTATCCAGATGTTAAAAAGAAAATGTTAAATAAAATTGATAAAAGTAATTTTATATAAATAATACATTTACCGTATTTAGTTAATATTAGCTAATGCGTTTATTTATTCATTTCTTAATATTTTATAATTTATTTTGATTCATAATACTTTTATTAAAATTTACTCAAGAACAAATTAATTAGAAATCATATAACATGCAGTTACATAATAAATGACTAATTTATAATAATCACTTGATGATTAGGTAACAAAACACTGAATTCCGGTAAAGAATTTTTTATGATAATGCGTCCAATTACTAAAAGTGATGTTAAGAATAATTTAAAGTATTGTGAGTGGTTGTAAAAAGGGCAGTTAGTGACATTTCATCAAAAAATAAAAATTTTTTTTTTTTTTTTGTTTAAAAGTATCAATTCAAAATTACTGAGGGAGTCCAATCAAACCCAGAACCTAAAAAAAATATTAGTGAGAAGTTCTGCATGATAACCTTCCATTATTCCCATTCCTATACCAGAAAGAAATAATCATGGCAATAATACATAAAATATGCAAATTAAAAGCTCTTTAATAAAACTTTTTTCACAAAATAAAACGTAGTTGATTGGATAATATACGTTATGCTATACGAAATTATTGAATACAATCCACTTTCCGATCCAGTGATCAATGCCTATTTCATTGATTAACATTTATTATTAATAACATAAACTTTTGTTTACTGCTTTTTTAATCATGTAATTTGACCGAATTAGTGGTACTGTAGTATCAGCTGTAGTATCATTCATAAGAAATGTAAAATAAAATTCGACTTTTTTTTTTTAAAAAAAAAATACATTAATAAATTTTTCTAATATATCATTTCGTTACACAAAAAGTTCCAGATCCTGCTCCCTTCCAAAATATTTGAATGATAAATCAAATTTAAAGTTCCGTATGTATACGCCAAAATACTTTTTTAGGATGTTTGCATAAGATAGGGATGGTCGCGGTCGCACATATTATTTTCTTATCTAAAATTCACGTGACTTCGATAAGTCTGATTTTTCAACATTATTGTTAAAAAGGATGAAATAAATAATAGTAATGCACTCATTTTAATCATATTACAATATGCATTGGCTCTAACAGCTTATGTTTCACTAAAAAGAACTCGGGCGTATTTTTTTTTGACTCTTTTTTTTTGTTTATAAAAGACAATGTCTCATACCAATATTTTATCTAGAAAAAAATGAAAACAGATATTATAAAACATCTCATTTTTTTAATAATTTTAGCTTCGCTTTTAACGGCAAACGCTTTACAATTTTCACAATGCAGCGGATATTATCCAAATCCGGCTAACGTATCACTTTTACCTGATCCCCCCATTTTTGGGCAGTCTGCAGAAATTTTTATTTCTACAATAGCATATACTACAATCGAAGTTAGTGCATATGTTAATATTCTAATGAGTAATCCTAATTGGGACTTCCCGCTTATTTATAAACAAAAAATTTGTATGGATAAATTTATTCATCAAACTTGTTCTAAATCAGATATATATTATAGTTTTGATTACAAATTTACTTATAACCTCGGTAATCAAACTTCAGCGTTAAAAATTGATATTGTAGCTAAGCTTGTGAATCCAGATAATAATATTTTAAGCTGTATCAATGGTACTGTTACTATACAAGCACCATATTGATAAAAATAAAAATTTATACTAAGCTAAACTATAAATTTATATGAACAACTAAAACAATAATTTTAGTTTTCACATTTGTAATTATTTTCATTTCTTGGAGTTATTAATTATGGCTCAGACATTGTATCCCTTGGCGGTTTCATTCCCTTCATTCTTCTTGCCTTATTGTACCTATAAACAACAAATACAATAAATCCAAGAGTAGTTACCAGAATAATAATAGGAATAACTATAGTTCTTATAACAGTTGTGTCGGTTAAATAAATTTTATTATATTGCTCCACTTCGGTAAAATTTGCATAATCTCCAATTTTATAAATATGAATGTCATTACTAGCTTGTTTGGTAGTTCCTTGACCTAATAAAAGGAATTAAAATGTTGTTATAGAGAAATGTTTTATATTTATGGCCTAAAAATAATATATATTAACAATATGTACCAAAAGCTATAAACATATGATCATCATGAAATGTCGCAGTATGACCTCTATAAGGAGCTCCAATTATAGTTCCATTTCCATGATACCATTCTCGTGTTTTTAAATCTAAGACCACATAATAATTTTCTACTGGTAATTTCGAAGCTTTAACTCCCCCGAATACAATAATTCTATTATCATTTGCTTTATTAAAATAAGAGTATTTAATCAGGATCCGAGTATCTTAAAAAAAATCATTTAAATACTTACTTAAAATAGCTGTATGATAATATCTTTGTTCTGGTGGATTTTTGGTTTCCTATTTTAATATATTATAAGAAATTTGACAAATTATAATTTTAACAGTAATAGCAAGTAATCACGTACCCATTTATTCCAATTACAACTTTTAGTATTATAGACATCTAACTTATATTAGTTAAAAGAAAATGTGTTAATCATAATACATATAATACCTGTAATAAATAAATAAATAGTTTACAGTTTACGTACGTTGGCCATATTCATTAATCCATTATCACTATTTCCACCAATATAAACTATTTCACCAGTATCAGATAAAAAAGTGGCAGTATGTCCCTCCCTCTTAATTATTGTATTATCAATTGTGCCATAAGTCCAATTACTTGTAGTACTATTGAAAATATTCATGGTGTCATAACGTATATATAAATTATCACCTAACTTTCCTCCTCCTCCACCACCAAAGAAATATATTGTATTATTTTTATTATTATTATCTGCAACTGCGCTCAAAAATCTTCTCCTTTCAATCTCATTGTTTGGTACATTCATATTTTTCCATGCTAATGGTAATTGTGTCGTATTAAGAATATATACTAAACTTTCTGTATTTTGAAGAGTACCCATATCTCCCCCAAAAAAGAAAATCGATTCTTTAAATTTACCAAAGACTACAGTTGTTGCTCCATAATGTTCTGGTACTGAATCGCCCAAAGTTACATTTACAAATGGCAATGAACCTTCGGTATTATTAAATGATTTTGAAATATCAAGATAGAAGAAATCATTTGTTAAAAGGCTTTCATTATTTTGACCGCCAAGATAATATATTTTCGTTCCAATTAATGCTGCTGTATGAAAAATTCTTCCTTTTGGAACAACATATTGTTGGCAATTTATATTAGCAAAGATTTGAAAAAAAGTTATATATAGAATCAAGTGTTTTAGATTTTTCATTTTTTGAATTTTTTTTTTTTTTTTCTTTTGAAATTAAAGAAATTATATACATAAATTAAATATTATATCAGCTGACAATAAACCAATTGAACCAATTAAACCATGCAACTATGCAACTGCGCTTAAATAATGATCGAATTTGTATTTACGTTACATAGATATAAGAGATTGTATTTTTTTTATACTTTTTTATATTCAGGGAAGATTGCATTTAAAATACTAAAAAGGGAACTGATCAATGATCATGGTTATCAACAATCACATGATTTGCACGAACTTTAATATTTTCGGTTGTTTTGTACTACCGATACTAAATATAGTTTATTTATTCTTATTACTAACTATTTATTTATTATTTATTTATTTATATTTATTTATTTATTTTTTATTATAATTATTTTTGTTTTAAAATAAAATTTAAATAACTTTACGAAACTTAAGATGAGAATGTAAATAAAAGTGAATAATTTTTGAAGAAACATGTTTATTTAACTTGACTTTAAATATTTCTCGCGACTTTATTAAATATATGTTTCTTTATATTTCCTTTATCAATTTATTCGATAGTACAAAGTCACGCTACCGAAATAATTAATGGGTGTTTTTTTAATGGTTACGTTGAAGCGTTTAAGAGTTGATTCATTTAGTTAATATTATTAAGGCATTAATTAATTTAATTAATTCTAAAAATAATCATAAGAAAACAAAAATAATTCCTATAAACGAATTGAACTTATTTCAATTGCTTTTGTTATTTATATTATACATCAGTTATATTGTATTTACGGTTCGATCATTAAATCACTGGTGATCGTTTCCCTACTGAGTATTTAATAAAATTTCTACGAATTTTGATTCCAATAATAATAACCAATGCAATACTTGTTATGGTTCCACCTAAGACAATAGCATATTCTTTTGGGCAGGTCTGGTGGATCTTCGGTCGTAGACACTTCAGTGATCTCCAATTTTTATAGATAAAAATATCATTAATTGGTTTTTCTATTGAATAGATGCTGCTAAAAAAGAAGGAAAACTATTTGTTAAATACCTACGTTCTTTATTGTATTTTCTTTTTAAAAAAAATACTTACCAAAAGCAATGAATAAAAATCATCAATTAAAGTTGCAATATGACCTATACAAGAAACTTTATTCAATGAATTCACTATTCCATAATACCATTCTAATGTATTCATATCAGGGCTTATTGGTATTGGTAATATTGGTAACGTAATTTTTATTTTCCCAGCTCCGCAAATTGGCCTAATTTTACCAATAAACCAATTATTTAAAATAGTATCAAAAACATTTATCAATAAATTCGCCTCTAAAATGATCTTTTTTATTATTATTATAAGCTGTTTCGCACAAATAACTTCTTCTTTCAGGCAAAATTGTAAAATTGTATATATTTTTTCATTCTAATTTATTCAAGATATAAAAAAAATTGTTAAAACTTTTTTCCGTTTATCGCCGCTTTACCATCAAAATTTTTTTTATCAATCAATATTATTGTGAGAAAACTTCATTCCACTTACTTTTAAAATAATCGAAAAAATATTATATAATAGATGATTGTATTTTTCATATTGGTCATTTTTTTTTCCTTTTTTTTAAAGAAAAAAAAAATTGATACTTTCGTTATATTACTATACTAGGAAACGGGAACCGTGCCGTTTCTGATTCCTGGAGTACTATATATATAGAAATGTATAAATAGCGTAACTTTTGTAAAATATGCAGGACAAACAGATATCGTATATGACATATGAATGCATAAGTTGATAATAATGCATTAATAACATAGCTATGCGTCACCTTTCGTTATAATATAGTCCTTCGTTACACTTCGGAGTTCGGACTAATAATATAATCAAACTACGTTAATCGGCTTAAATTTTGTGTAACAAATCTACTTATCTGCATATATATACCGTAGCATGTGATAGTCATAAATCTAATTATATATCCGAAATGAACGACCAAAATAAGTTCAATTGAATGAAATATGATGATAATGATTTAAATTTTAGAATTATAAGGAATTTTCTCTATAAACATACAGTAAATGAAATTATCAATTGTAGATAACATTCATCATCTAATCAAAATCACACGGGATAAAAAGATAGATAAACTTTATCTTAAAAGATAACATTAATATCTACGAAATATACGGATTTATTTTCCATATCTGGTAGAATGGAAAGACCAATGTTTCTATTATTCGAAACATTGTCACAATCCGTTTTTTATATTCCATCTTTTTTCCGTAAAAGGCTCATATCTCCGGAATTAATAACCCTATATTACGGAATTTATCAAATTATTTACATTTTCCATGAATGGATCCGTGAAAGGCTCATTTTTACGGAGTTTTTACAGAAATAACGGATAAAATTTTTTATAGGGTTAAAATATGAGTATACAGTAATTATTTGTTTGTTACTCATCACTTTGGCAGTATTTCATTCAAAGTTGGATCGTTCTGTCCCAAAAGACCGGTCTCTTAGCCAACCGGTTCGGTATTTTAGGCCAGTCTTAAAGTTTTCAAATTTATTTTATTTATTTTATTTAAAACGGTGGTATAGTTGGGTTGATCATTAATCAGCAAAAACAATGAAATAAAAGTCGCACTAAATTAGTTTATATTAGCAATGTATAAAATTATCTGAGAGTTTTTTCGTCCAAATTGGGAATTAGATGTGTATAAGAGACAGGTATAAAATTATCTGAGAGTTTTTTCGTCCAAATTGGGAATTATAGTTAGATTCACCACTATAAAATATTAAAAATGCCGCTTTATTCTTCAATTCAAAAAATGATTAGTCAAAATTTAATGCATTTCAGGATATTCAGTATAAAAATTCCTCTTGATAGTTTGTTGTTTTAATTGGTTATAGTACATTTCGTCGAAGTCCATTTCACTGAAACCCATTTTGACGAAGCTATTTCACCAAAGAGAAGCTTTGTAAAATGGACATTTCATCGAATCCTTCGCCCAAATCATCCATTTTGTTGAAGAACATTTCACCGAAAATGTTAGTGATTAACATATTTCCTTAATCATTAACAATTTGATACAAAGAAAATAAAAGTGCTCAAAGAACAAAAATTTTCTTTAAAATATTGTTTCGAAAAGTTTGTGAATATGATGATTTTGTTATCTTTTTTTTATGTATAATAATTCGTTTTTCTTCCCAAAAAAAGAAAAATTAAAAAAATCCATATTTTCGGCAAAAATGACTTACATCTGTATTCGGGGAAATGGCATTTCGGCAAAATGACATTTCGGTAAAATATCCCATTTGTGAAATTGCTTCTGTGAAATGGACTTCTGAGAAATGTCTGAATACCA